GACAATAATGCAAGTTGAATTTTAGCTTTAATTTTGCTTCAAATGAGGTTGGCTTGATATTTACAGGTATTATTTACAGACAATTGGCCATTCAATATGTTGTAATATCCCTGAACAACTCAGTTATATCGAACAGAGGTTTTAATTAAATTTGGTAAAAAGAAGATCCAAGATATTTAACATTTAAATACAAATACAACAATTGGATTTTAAAATCCGCATATAAAATGAACACAAATGCAATTAAATGGAATACTTTGGATTATATTTATCGGTCCTTTTTGCTGCCACAAAGTTCAGTTTATTAAAAATCCATACATCAATTTGAATAACCCTTTTGTGTTGAACTCTCTGCGAACCGCAGTGGCCCCATCAACTGTACACAAATGGGCAAATAAAAGCCCCGAATAGTTGGCTTTATTAGTTCGGACTTTCCCGACCGGTTTTCCCCCATTTTCTTGGGTCACAAAACCACAAAAAGAACAGTGAGGAAAGCGCGGCGCGTGTCAATGACTCCAGTGTAAATAACAATAACAATAAAATGGGGTAGAGGGTGCTCCCTTATTTCATTTCATTCTCATGCTTTCTGTTTTTTTTTTCTCTCTTTTTTTTTTGTGGCTTTCAGTTGCTTTCAACAACTGCAGTTTGTCAAATATTTCGTGTTTAGGTGTTTGTGGCTTTTGTATGGGCAAACCGAACCGAACCGAACCGAACGAAAAGCGTTGACAGCTGTCGACGGGGGAAATTAACCACCTTTTCCCCCCAAAGGACTCCATTTGTCGTTTATTTAGTTTTATCGCAAACAAATGTTTACACTTTTAACAATGTTTGGCAATCGTTTGAGGAGCGCCGATTACTGGATTCACTCAATCAAAGTCGAGATTCGATTGCTCCTGCTGCAACTGTAACACATGGCGTATGCGTAACTTCACTTTACCCTCTTGTTCCGTCGTCCCCTTGATCCCCCTGATCTCACTGTATATATCCAGCGATTTTCTCATAGCCCCTATATGTCGACACCTATTTGCATTTATCATTGGCAGGCAGCGGGAGCGACGGCAACAGCAGTCGTTACAATGACAACACTTTTGCATGCAAATATATCAGACGTCAGCCCCACGTTGCCAGTTAAGCACATGTGCCATGTCGTCCTGGTTCCCCAGGATAACTCCTTCCTCCCTCCTTTCTCCTCCCTCTCTTCCTCCCACAATTCCCCCCATCCTCTTCGTGAAGCTTGAAAGCTTGAGGGGTTTCCTGCCGCTTTTGTAGATGTCTCATCTTTACCTGCTGCTTAGCGGATGAACAGTGAGTTGGGGTTTGAAAGCCAAAGGGTGTATTCTAAAAAGGACTGCTAAATAGTGCAAACTACTTGAAAGTCACAAAAAGTACATTAAAAGCCAACTATTTACATCCAAATATTTGTTAGTTAGAAATGGATATTTCTTTTGTTAAGTTAATTTATTTTAAGTATATTAATAACATCTCAAATTGATTTGTTTTAAATTACCAAAGCTATAGAAATTTTCTTTAGCCTCTTAAGTAAATTTAAAAAGGTGATAAAAAATTTAAAAACTTAATTTGGGTTCTAAATATTAGCGAATTAAGTGAATGCTTTGCAAACTAATTGTTTATTTCAACAGCCTTTTATTAAAGCCACCATTTGTCCAGCAATTAATATAATGAATGCATAATTTACCAACCAGTTGCCCCAAGTGGCACTGCTCTCCTTGAAATTAGGCACTTTGGCTGGACCAACTTTGAGTCCCCCATTCGATGGGCGATGCATGATTGATGGGGCGAGTTTCGACCCACTGTGCACGGTGGTGCACCAGTGGGCGCCATAAAGCGCACAAGTGCCAAATTGCTTTGGCAAACTACGTTAGTTATTACGAAGGACGGTTGCTACGTTCGAGGCGACTTGGTTACTTTGGCCCGTTCACTTCAATTCGATCCCTTTGGTTGTTAGTTGTCGGCTGTTGGCTGTCGGCTGTTGGCTGTTCCTTGTTGGTTACTGCTATTGGTATTAATGCTGTTGCCATGGCCTGTTAAAGGACCATAACTTGGCTTTAATGTAGCGCATACGTATCGAGCATACGCCATGTGTGCCGCTTTGACAAGAACATAAATAGCCAGTCGAAAATGGGGTGTGCATGGCTACAAGCCCAAATGTTTACCCACCGCCAACTGTCAGTTCAAACCACCCGCCCCCTCACCCCCTCATCCCTCTAGTGTCTGACTGTCTGTCTGTTTGTCCGGAGGAGCACAAAACCAACAATGGATAAACAAAAAAAAAAAAAACAAAACAGAGAAAAGAAAACCCCAATTGGCCGGAGAGTTGGTTCCCTGACAGGCTAAAAGCTCAGTCGGCTAACACAAAAGCAGCAATCACTTAACTCTTGCCCCAGCGCAATCGAAAAGCCCCCTGATTTTCCACCTGCAACGCCAACACTTCAACATTCGGAACACACACACACACTCACAAACACTCACAAACACTCACACACACTCACACACACTCACAAACACTCACACACAACACCCTTTTCTCCGTCTCAAAAAACCAACAATGGGTTTAAGTTCAGATGCGAAAGAAGAAAGCGAAGTGGAGATAAAGTGGTTGCCATGTTTGAACTGGCATCGTATTCAAATTCTGGTTAATCACATTTCGAATTCAACCCTAGGGAATACCCTGCCAGAAATTGAAGATACTATTTCTTATAGGAGTGTTTCCTTTAGCTTAGTTTAAATAATTAGCTGCACTCTCACTAGTAAACAATATCTAAATAATTCTATTAATTCAAGTGTAGAGTAAAACCCACAGGAATTCTAGCTTATAGTTAATTACTTTCAGAACTTTTGATTGATAGCGCCGCATTCGAAGAAATCCCCATGGAGCTATATAAAACCGTATCAACTGTACGATAACAATGCATCATGCAACATTGTTTTCCACTTAAAATGCCATTGGGCAGAGAAGTACGTACCACTGTTGGCATTCTGTTATTTTCCATCACAATATTTATTTAACCAAATGCCCCCAAAGCCATATTATCAACACCACATTCCCACATTTTCACCTCCAGCGCCAGAGCAATGATTAATTGTGAAAGTTTGATCGGGGAAAAAGCTAATAAACTACCATACAAAGAAGTTCAATGCAATTTTTATTCATTTCTGAATATTCAAAGGTCGATTTCTATTAATTAACACCGCGAATTTCCATGGAAGAGAAGCAACCTGCAATCGAAATGCGGTGCATATGTATTTTCCCCTCATCTCTGTCAAATAGCCCGCGGGATCTTTCAACCATTCCAGTTTTTTTTTGTTGTTTTTCAATTTTTATGTGTATTTTTATTGGATTTCATATGCGAACCCCTGGCAAAAAAAAAAACCAACGACAAGAAATGAAAATTGAATATTTTATGTGAAGTGAAACAAAGAACGCAACAAAAAAAAAAAAAAACTGGATTAACAATTGAAACAACGCGTTTTTATATGTAAGCAAGGAAAATGGGGGAAAATATCTTTATTTCAGAAACAAACAAGGCCGCATAAAAATCTTCAAACAATTTCAATGCGTAGACACATTTATTATTAAAGTTCTTTGAGGATTTGCCTTGTATGAAAGGATATTCTTTTATTAAATTCATTTTCTAAGATGCCATTCAATTTTAAATAAGGTAAGGCTACTATGTATTTATTTCTTTTTTATTTCCACAATATGAAATCATTAAGTAAATATTTAAAGAATTGTGGTGTAAACAGTGAAGTGCAGGTGTTTTTACATATTCTTTGACCACTCAATGTAAACGCAAGGACAACAAAAGCAGGGAAGTGCAAACCGGAATACCACGTATACGCCGTGTTGGCTGTCGTTTTCCGGCGACCGGGGAAAAATCAAAGATTGCCACACCGCCCGCATCGCCGCTTTTCGCCATTTCGCGCTCTTATGCCAGAGAAAAGCCGGTCACGCGCCAATACAAGCGATGTGCAACATCCTCGCATGCAGCTGCTTAAACGCAGCGATTAGCAAAAGGACACGTACGAAGGATGCTAAGGATGCCTGTGCGATTGCGAGTGCGAGTGGAATTGCGAGTGCGAATGCGAGTGCGGCAACAAGTTCGGTTAACGAGACTCGCCGACAAGGGCCCAAAATCCTAAGCCAAAGCCGGAGTGGCCTCAACCGCTTTTTGTGGCCAGCAATTTTCAAATGGCATCGTTTAATACAATTGCACACGCTGCGTATGCGTAACGAGTTTCTGTTTTCTGTTTTCTTTCGACGCCCTCACAAAAAGGGAATACCCCGAAATCGTAGACGGTTTTTCATTAAATCATCTCATTGGCACGCAGACAACAATCAGAGAAAGAGGAGCGGGCAACGAGACAATGAAAATGTGTGTAATTGAATTTACAAAGAAAGACGAGCACGAGGACATGAAAAGAATTTCCTACAAAATTGAACATTTTTTTTTTTTTAACCTTCAACGTGACTTCAATAAAGTTCTAAAATTAAATTCATATTTAAATAAAACTAAATACCTTTAGAAGAATGCGTTAAATATTTTTCCTAATGACTATACAAGGGAATTTTTTAATAAAAATGTGGAATGCCTAGAAACTTTAATTTTATAAATTTTTCACATATAGAATTTTTTACTAGGGGCCTAACTTATTTATAAAACCAAATGCACAATACAAAATCAATTCCAATTTTAGTTTTGATTCCAATTAACTCGTTAAAATAACCACAAGTCAAAACAATTTGCAAAAAAAAAAAAAATAAATAAAAGGTAATTAAACAAAACCTAGATTTCTGGGAAGTTTTTTATTAACAATTTCGGTTCCTCTCATCCGAAAGACTTTTCAAAAACGTTTTCCAAAACCGAATCACACACAAACACACTTCTAACAAATAAACTTTCACACAATATATCACGAAGTTGATCAGCATTTTTCTAAAGATTTTATTCAATGAATGAGAAAAGTAATATCATATTTACCGTTTCGCATAAAGTGTTTGTTTTCAATGGAACGAACTTTTCAGTCGTTCGAGTCAAGCGAGAATTTCGTGCACATTTTTGTGCGTTTTACGCGGTTACAGTTAGGATTCAAAAAGCACAAAACTTTCTTAAACTGTCTGCGTTGTGGCTTAAAGTTTGTTTTTGTTTTAGTTTTTTGATTAGGTTTGAGTTTGTTTACTTAGCCTTAAAGTGGTTATTTTACAAATATAGGTTAAATACTTTTGAATATCTTTGAATATTTTGTACAAGTTAATATAGTTTCAGCACAACACTTAGAAGCACAATCAAAAAAAGAGTTGTATGTTTATATATTGAGAGTTTTAAGTGTGTTTTTTAAATTGGTTTTGGTTTGGTAGAACTTTGTTTTGGGCGATGATGATTTGGAGAACTTGAGGGCTTCTGAGAGTTTTGAATTTCAGTTTGAATGTTTGGCCTGCTTGGCGCTGTTCTGCTGTGCAGATGAGGTTTGTTCTGTTTTGTTCTGTTCTGTTCGGTTTTGTTTTTTTGATTTTTGGTTGGACCACAACGCGCCTCGTCGACGTTTCAAACGAAACTGATGCGAAGGCGAAGCGTCGCCAGGAATATAAAGCGACTGCGAGCGAGAGAGCGCTATGGCGGGAGGTCGGCGGTGGGAGCGAGATGGACGCTCTCGGCTGGGAAGTTCGGTAAATCACGAAGCTATATAAACACCTGTAAGCAGCCCTTGGATGCCGGCGAAATGGGAGAGAGAGAAAGAGAGAGAGCCGTGCGGCTAAAAAGGCCGTATCGTTCTTACTCCCACTCCCCTTTTGCCGCCCACGCTCTCCCAAGCCCCATCGAACCATCTCACTCTCGCCATCGCCCTCTCACTCTCTCGCTCTTACTCTCGGAAGCGGAAGAAACTCAACAGTTGGCACATTATTCAATGGTGCGGGGGGCGGCGGGGAGGTGAAATAGGGGAGAGTAGAGCGGAGAAATGCTGGGAAATGGAGGGAAAAACCAAGAGAAATACGGAGCAAACCGGGCGGCATCGCTACTGATTGTTTGTCTTTGTTTGTTGCCAACAAATTTATGGCAATCATTTGTTTGCCGTTTTAAGTTGGACCGCTTCAATTGCCCAAAACTATCGATAATTACTAGTTGAGGGGAATACTCCAAATGGTTATGCTAATGACATAGTTTAATATTATCTATTTGATAGCCAGCCCCATTTCAATCGATTAGAATAATCCTATTTATTGCTTTCTTAATTCTTATTTAACACTCGTTTGCATACTATCGGTTTAATCGGTCGCATTTGCCATGGTATCGATTGGAAGAAAATGCTTTAAATTAAGTGCTCCCATTTATTTTGGTATTAAAGCTGTAACACTATTTTTATGTGCTGGTGGAGTAGGATAGGATAAAATATTATGCTTAAGTAATTCTTTAATTAATTGGTTATAATATTCAAGCATTCGAAATTAATAATATTGCAATTCGATGGTCTCCAGAAGAGATTCAGGAAGAGACCTGGACTCAGCTTGAATTTTGACCTAATCGAGTAATTTCTTTAAGGGGGGGGTAAGGTTTTAAAGGCCAAAAATAGGGCCATGTTTGATTTTTTTTGCGGCGAAATGAGTAAGTTTATTTTATTGAGCTTATTTACATGTTATTGTTTAACTTTTGAAGAGTATTAGAAAAAAAATTATTAAAAAATATTAAGAAATAAGCCTGTGGCGGTTAATCTTCCGAAGCGACCAAAGAAAAAGTTGTTTTGCGGTGAACATCATAGGGCGTTAACGGATCATCTTAAAAATAAAATGTGATATGCGTTGAAAAGATAATGAATTTCCCGAGGTAATCAGGAAGAGTTTTTTTTTAATTTATTTTTTGTCTATTTTTGGGAGCACTTGAAAGTTAAAAGTGCGATTTTAGCTTAAAAAATCGCTGTTAATTTATTTCTTAAAAATAGAAAAAAATTAAAAATTAAAAAAAACTTTTCCTGATTACCTGCGTATTTATATTGAGAATTTGTGTTAAAAATTTGAAAAGGATCGGTTCAGTAGATTTTGAGTTCTGATGTTCACCGACTTTCAAAATAACGTCTTCGGCAAAATCGATTCAAAGTATTTTTATACGTGAAAATTCGTCCAAATACGGTTCTTTAAAACGCTGTAACTCTGTTAGTTCGACTTTGATTGACTCAAAATTTTTACACAATGTTCTCGACACATTGGTCATTCAGAAAAAAATATAAAAAAAAATGTAAAAAAATTTTTTTAAAACCTAACCCCCCCTTAATTCTTTACCCAATTGCGTCAATAACTTAACAACTCGCTTTTCCGAGTCCTGGTTTTTGGGTGGAGTAGGTTTCCCTAATTCGATTATTTTCGTCTCGTCCCGGAACGCGTCTTGGGAATATGTCGGATATGGTTTCCATATATCCCTCTCAAGATTTTTGTGGAGTTGCTTATCGGACAACTCACGATCGGGGGCTGAATAAGCGGTGGCCAAAAGGGCCAGAAATCCCAAGACATGCAAGTAATGCATTTCGAAAACTTTGTGAGTGGCTTTGGGCCATTTGCCATTTATATACATTTCCAAAGCTGAGTTATCAGCTCTGTTAATTAGGTTAAATTCAATTACAGATAGCTTGACACTGATTTATTTCTAAGCCGTAACTTTACATAAAATATCTGTTTGAGAAAAAACAATTAAATGTCCTCATGTAACGTTCAACAGTAAAAGCCTGATAAACCATATATATATAACAGAAAACCATTAAATCACATCAGCACTGTGCTTTCCATCATAAACATATTTTAAACGAAAATAAATATATATATTTTATGAAAAACATAATGGATTGCGATGGACCAAGTTTGGAGGAGCAGCGCGAGCGAGTCGATAATGCAACCTTGACCGCCATGGAGGATCTGGATCGGGATTATCTGCGCAAGCTGCAGATCGAGATGCACACCTGTGCGACCGCCTGCTGTGCGGATGCGGATGCGAGTGCGGAGGCGGTACAGCGGTGCGTCGACCGCTGCCAAATCCGATTGACCCGTGCTCGCTGTTTCGTGCAGCAGGGCCTATCCGATTTCGAGAATCGCCTGGAGAAGTGCATTCAACAGTGTCGCATCCACGGATCCGATTCTCAGCTGGAACGCTGCTCCAGTAACTGCGTGGACAGCCATGTGGCATCCCTGCCCGAAATGCTCAGGGCCATGAGAGATACCCTGGAAAAGGGGGTTTAAGGGAGTACAGAAACCCTAACAAAATACAACAAATCTATATTTTATGTTCTTGAAAATTCAATTAGTTGCCTTTATAAAATGTCTTTTACACCAATAAAATTATAATTTTTGAATTTCAAGCAATACAACTATTTTACATTTAATTCAGAACTTAATCAGATATTTGGTCACACGTTGCGTATGAGTGATTTTTTTAAATTCATCTCACATAATTATTTAAAATGCAACAGAAAATTCAATTAGTTGCCTTTATAAAATGTCTTTTACACCAATAAAATTATAATTTTTGAATTTCAAGCAATACAACTATTTTACATTTAATTCAGAATTTAATCAGATATTAGGTCACACGTTGCGTATGAGTGATTTTTTGAATTCAACTCACATAATTATTTAAAATGCAACAGCAAGTTCTTAAATACTTTTTTTTATTGCAGTATTTTTTAATCACTATCAGTACATTCCTACAATTTTATTAATTGATCCAATCAAACTACTATCTAAATCACCTATTGGCAAGTGTTAAACACAATTAAAGGCCAATTAAGTGCTAAATAGCATCTTAATTAATGAGAATCGGTATTTAGAGGCGCAACATCGGTCGCTAATCGTTCGGGAAAACGCTTATTGATTTCCACACCAATCAAATCGATTATGCTGCAATTTTTGGTGACCCAAAAACATGCTTTTTATAAAGCAATTACGTGGGTGGCCCGACAGCAATATACAGCAGTTCACAAATTATTCATAGGAACATGTCCGTATGGGCTGTGATTTATTCACAAACATACGGCCAAACGTTCGTTGCTGGTGGCGCATGTAAATGCTCCCAATTGATACGACAATAGCAATAATCTCCCAGACACGGACAATGTGGCATACTTTCAGGCGAGCTGCACAAAAGTTCGGGCTAAAAGAGACCCACAAGTTGCACTACACAGCACAGTAGAGCAAAGGAACCCCGGCAAAAAATATGTGCACACACCATACACAACAAGGAGGTCTATCAAATTGGATCAAAACAAGAGCAAGAAGTCCACACTATTAGAAAAAAACCATCTACGACCTGTCTATCAGCCAGGGCTCTGTAATCACCGCCAATTGAAATAGTTTCAGGGAAAATTGGTCTGCACTGCTGACCATATGCCGTTGTACACGGGAAGGATTGCTGATATGTGTCAATCGATAGCCAGTTTAAATGGTGTCAAACATCAATAGTAAATTATGGTTTTCGGACTAAATCGTTTGTAAATCTATTAAGCTGTCAATTTGTGGTGGTTAAACTTGGGATTTATATTATAAAGCTTTAAGCTGCAAAGAAAAACTAATTAAAACTAAAACCGATAACAAGGAAGAAGTGTCGATGATTGATTAACAACAAATACTTATCGATTACTTCGATAATCTGTTAATTATGGTTCAGGTAAGTGTGAAAATAACTTGACTTCCCTTTTGAAAGTTTAAATTTTGTTTAAGAAGTATGTGCTTATTGGGAGTCTAGACTTTGGACTTCAGCACGCCATCGACTTATCGACAATTACCGATGACCAAATTTACTCTCGACCCGCCCGTCTGTCCGTTTATCCGTCCGTCTGTCCGTCTGACCATCAAGGGGCAATCAGAATCAGACTCGAGTGTACGGAGGTGTGTTTGACAGATATAGGTGTGCAGACAAAAGCAATCGGCATGTCAGTTGAGCAGTTTAAAAAAGCAATGCCTTCCTTTGATGGCAATGGGCTGAAATTATGTGCTGCGAGTGCGAGACAATGGCAACGGGCGTTAAACAAAATGTTTTCGCATTATTCAAATGAAATGCTTTTTATTGTCTGACAGTCGCTATAGCGATTGCAGCAGCAACAACAACAACAATCAAACAAATCAGAAAGGAAGCTCCAGGAGGTTCTCGCTGGTTCGCACTGAAAGCTAACAAACAAAAGGGAAAGCCATCCCGTAAGGGAAAATACGGAAAACAAAAAAAGAAGTCTATTACCTGCATTCATCGAGAACAATGATGAACCATTGCTCGAAAAAGACGAGTGCAGAGCTATTGGAAAGAGCAGCCACGGGGGATGAGATTGGCGAATTGAACATTGCAACCGGATTGGCTTTCCAAAAACTGTAGAGTTAATTTCAATTTGCATTACTCTGATTGGCCGAAATGCACACATAGCCCACGCATATCAAGTAAATACACAAGTCCAGCAAACTGCACTGAGCTTCCGAAAGATAAACAAATGGTTTATAAGATATCGCAAATTCAATACATATTTAAACAAATTTAAAAGTGTTTGAAAAAGGGTTTTATTTTCCACAAAAATAATTGATTGTTGTTGGAATTGCCTACTTGAATACTTTAATTGAGTTAAATACTTTCCCATTGCATATAACTTTTGCAACTTATACTTTAATTTCTGAAACCGTAATGCATCCTATGTTTTCTTTAAGTACTTAGTGAATTTTTCCCATTTTTTCCCAGTGCAGTCCTCCCACTCATTCGGACATTGATTAGAACAATGCAGGAGCCAAGGAAATGCAGCTACTGTGCGAGTGGCAAACTTCCTACCGCTTATCGGCGCACGTCAAATTGTAACGCCAGAATGCGTGGGCCTTTGCATTGTACATAAATATGCAACTATATATTTGTATATATATAAATATATATATATACATATTCCAACTCCCACATCCTTTTAACCATGAGTAGGCGGTTGCACTAGCTGGAATTCCCGGAACCAGAAAATGTATACATAAAAGAGTCACTCTAATTACTTTTGCTGAAAATGGAAGCATTTGCTTAATAACACTTCAGTTCTAAAGAAACCAATCTTCCTTAATTCAAATGTTTCCTTTCAAATTGCATTCCTTTACTTATTAACATAATTATGACGAAAGTTAATAACTTTTCCATGAATTACTGCCAGCATTCTTGCATTGAGTGTGCAATCTTTTAAAGATCTTTAAACTTTTAATGTCCTCGTTCGCCGCAAAAGACTCAATCGAGATTCATCGCTTTTTTCGCACACAATTTTGCGAAAATTGGTTCACCTTTTGTGGGTCCCCGCATGACATTCAGAATATTTCAGAGACAGCGTCAAAAACGCGATATGAACCATGACGACAAAAAAAGGGAAGCAAGAAGGACGAAGCCTCAGAAATTTGACTGCAACGCCATCCAAACGGTTGGCAGTCAATGGCCCATTGCCTAGGCCTATATGGCTTATACAGTTGAGGTCACAAAAATAGCAGTTAATCAAAATAAAAGAAAAATCAAAAAGAAATTAGTTGAAAAAAAAGTAAAGGTTTTAACATTTTAATTAAAAAGCTGAATCCCATAGAAAACATTGGTTTAAGGAAATGGAAAAGAAAAACCAATAAACACTTTTGATAAATTTCTATTAAAACATTTCCAAATTAGTTTAAATTTTCAGGATACTTTCTTTGCTTTGTTACCATCTCAGTGGTTAATGTTTTGGACCCAACTGTACAACTTCTGGCTATAAGGCCGCATCTCAAAGTGGCAAGTGAAGCGAAGAAGGTGCAGAGGGCCCAAGGACGCTGCGGCCTGTGTGATATGTTAATTTGGCCTAAACTACACACCAACGTAAAAATGGCAAATGGCGGATACGAGAATGTGAAAATGTGAAAATGCGAAAACGAATAATGCGTCCTTCGCCCGCAAATCCCAAAAGCAAAATGTGTCATACATTCGCCAGTTAGCGAAGGATTTCAGAGAAAAACACACAGTCTTTTTTTTCCTTTCTCCCGTCTGTCTTAGGCAGCTCTTTATTTATTTTTTTTTTTTTTTTGTTGATCCGGACATGGGGCAGTTTTGATTTATGCCACAAGATGCGACAGTCTCGAGGAGTATATGAAAATAAATCAGTTTGGCGCATATTTTTAAGTGTCCTGATTTTATTTGGCACATTGGCCACTTAATAACAGTTTGATATTAAAAGGCTCAAATTGGAAATAAGAATAAGAATAAGAATAAGAATAATATATATTATAATAATATATGTCAACACATTATAATCATATAATATGAATCTGCTTTAATTTCTAGTTTAACTGTATTAAAAATATTATTATGAGACACTTAATGTTAATAATATTTTGTTGGTAGTTACTAAAGGTATTGAATTGTTGTTCAATCTTTGGCATATTTGCAAAACTACTTTAATAAACGAAAAATATACCCTCTAAATTATTTCCTTTAACACGGTATCAAGTGAGGCATTCTATGACGATTTCTTCGCAAGATCCTTTCGAATAATGAAAGTTGGGCCATTGTGGCGCCCACCAGGACACAAAATCCCCTTCTTATTTTTCCAAAAAACGCCACTCGATTGACACGTTCGCCCAGAGACGCGATTCTCCCTGAACATACACACATATATCCCATCTATCCATCCCATCCCATCCTATCCAGGCCTTCGGTGAAAATCCCACACCTTAGTGTCAAATTTAATGCGGTTCGCTGTTTATTAGATTTGCACAAATGGCATTTTCGGCAGTAGGTTGTGCCACTGAAATTGGAATGGGTGGTTGTGGTTGTGCGAAGGTCCTTTCTAGGCGTTAAGTGCTTGTTGGTGGTGCTTCTCCCAACAACAATAACAGCAACACCAACAGCAACAACAACAAAAATATCAACTCTATTGGCAAAGAAGAAAAAAAACGAAACGACAGTGAAATTATTGAAAATTCATTTAAATGTCAGCAAAGTTGAGGAGCTTCAAAAAAATGGCACAACATGTCGTATGCGCAATATTAAATATTAAAACGCTTACATTATTAACACAACAAAACAGCGGAGACAGGCGGAAGGAACAGAGACTTGCACACAGTCGAAATTAAATTTCATTTTGAAGCGGCACGAAATCAGCATATTTATGAGTGCCAAAAGGGCAACTCGATTCGATTGTAAATTAGAAGGCAAACATGTCGTCCGGCCTGGAAAACCTCGTTCCGTTGGACAAGGCGAAAATTAAATCAACGCTGTCATTATTTCGGCGGCACTCGAGTGTTCCGTCAACAGTTTGCAGCCTAAAACTGCAAAGCTGCAAAACTGCAGCCAAACAAAAATCGGAGAGGGGGCAAAAATGTCCATATTTTGATTGCCTCTATTCACGTTA